TGAAAATTAAACTGCATATTCATTATGTTAAATAAGAAGCGGATTATAATTCAGTTCGTATTTCAAAGTTTAGCTGTTTCTATACGCGGGGCCTATAGTGTATTAACTGAATCTCTTCTATTATCAGCGTTTAACTGTGGATACAGATGAGGACTAGGGATATATCAATCTAATATCTTCTGCATTTTCTTAAATACTTTTGCTTATGAATTGATAGTTGAAGGAAGTTTGTATGAAAGTTTTTATTATATTTAAATATGTATTTTTGGGAATCCATAAGTTCGACTTTGGGTCGTTGCATCTATGACTTCAGCTCAGTTTGAATAGTTAATTAGCTCGTGCTATTTCTGTTTTGTCTACCTGTAGACCATCCATGGCTCCGGCTTCCATGGTTATACACGGAATGCAAATAGAAAGAGCAAGAAATGTAAAGTTAATGAAAAGTTGTTTGGGTGCTATACTCAATATACTGTAGTGAATTCAGTTGATTATAAAAGCCATTAAAAGCTGTAAAAATCTTGGTTTGCTTAATTATACTTGATAGCGTAAGGTGTTTTGGTTTAAATTTATGAGAGGTACCCGAGGCAATTCACGCAGCTCGCCACTTTGTAGGGTATTTCTTATTCGGCATAGGCAGTGCTGTATTTCGGCTGCTCTTTTTATTAGGGGCGTGGTCACTGTTGTTATGCAACGGCGCACAGCAAGGTGTTAAATTATATCATTAGGCTCGCTGTGCATAATTTAATTAAACTGGCCAAAGGCTCGCTCGCTTGTACTTCCCCTGCCACTGAAGCTGATCCTGTTCTTGTTCTTGTTGTTGTTTTAGTTGTTGTTTTCGTGCTGTTGCTCGCTGAACGTTGATTGTTTTTGTCGCTGTCTGTTGGCATTGTTATTAAAATTTAATTAAAACGCTATCAAAAGCAACAGTTTGCTGAGCGACGATGGCTGGCGAAACATTTAACGCAAAATTGATTGCCCAGCCACTTGACAATCAGTTTAATTCGCACTCACACAGCGACAAACGCTCTCACACTCCCTCATAGTTCCACTCATGCACTTAAATATATGTATATACTTGCATACATATATGCATATATGCCTCGCAGTCATTTAACTTTGACATCCTTTGGATTTATCAAATGAATGCGTACTCGTTGCAGGGAAACAACTGCACAATACTCGCTCATAATTCAAAGGCAGCTATAAATATTAATTATTCAAAATATAACAATTATATATAATACAGTAGAATCTGGAATCCCTTGAGCGGTTATCTGGCTTTAACGACACTCAAGGGACCGTCGCTATAACTATATAAGTTTGCTCGTCGTTATTACCGCATTCTACTGTATATAACAAATAATTTACATGTTTATGAAATATATAAAATGGAATACGTAATATATATAATATGCATGTATATAAAATTTACTTAATATGTGATGCGTATCCAAAAAGACTGTCAAAAACCTAGAAATGCTACCTATCAAAATGCATTTCAAATTTCAACCCATATACCCTCTTCACATTGTGAATGTGTATAAGCCACAGCACACGCATACGCACATCCGGTGTTGTCCTTCAGAGTGCAACACGATGCAAACTCCGGAACAGTTCAATTAATGTCAAGCATTAAGCGTGATTACGTCAAGTGGAAAAGCAGGCAAAAGCAGTAACAGCTGAGCTGTTTAGGTAAGAGTTTTACACTAATTGCAGATGAAAAAGGAAAGGTTTGGGATTACGTGTTGAGCAGCCCAGTAAAGAGGCAACTTACAAAAGTTGGCTTACAGCCGCTCAGCTAGTGCACAATCTGTAATCTAGAATCTGCGTCAGTCAGTTGTCAGTTGGGAAGAAACTGCATGCCTACTAATTGAGTGAAATTGAATTGTTGAGTGTAATTAAAATAATCTTGCTAATGCCGAGCAAGAGAACTTGGTCTCAGCTAAGCCAACTGCAATTTGCTTGAAAAGTGCAAGTCTTCCTTTGTTTGCCAAGCAGGCGGCAAGAAGTGCTTGGACAAAGCCGGCGAAGCAGCTCAAGCGAGGCAAACGCAGGGCAACATTTTTAACATTTTCATTTGTGATGACTCTTGGCCTTAATTTGTGCAATTCATCAGCAAAGGCGGCCAGGCCGAGAGCCAGAGGAAGAATGGCTAAAGAGCTTCCGTTTCGATCATCACACACTAATAATGACAGCGAAGAATGCGCGGCTGGGGCAACTGGGGAATGCAGCCAAAGTCTGGCAGGGGCAGCACGAAATTGAAAACAATTAACAAATATGTTCTGGCCTTGGCCAAGAGACACACACGAAACAGCGCGGCCTGCTGACTGGAATCGCAATTGCCTGGCTGTCTCATCAAATGAAAATTGTTGAGCCTGAGCCAGCGTCTGTCTGAAGTGTCCATCTGTCTGTCTGCGCAACGATCTGCGTCGAGTCCAATTGGCAACATCTTCTGCTCAATTGCCAACTCATTCATCATTTTTAATTATGACAATTGCCTCGGCCTCTGGCACGGAGCCTGGGAAAGAAGTGTGCAGCCCGCTAGGAAAAGCCTGAGACAATCATGCAGCTCACGTGCCTATTAGCTGCTAATGGCATTTGCCCACAGTTCAATGAGCAGGCCTTCTTCCTAGCTCCAAGGGCCACTCGATTTTTATGGCACTCGCTGCCGCATTAGGAAGTTCGATTTATTGCCGCCAGTCCAACAGGTTGTTTGACGCCCAATAACATTTAATGCGTTGCCTCAATAGAGTTGTAAGCGAATTCTCATTCGAGCCACGCCCTCGCAAACTAACAAACACAAAGCGAAGTCAAATGTGGGCGTAGGGTCTTTATATATACATATATATTTATAAGTTTGTATAGGCCATAAATGAATTTTATATCAAGCAAATTTGAAACAGATTACAAATATAGTAAAGCAAAATTATTTATCTCTAAATTAATTTTTAATATAACTGCAATTCTAATTTGACGTTATTATTTTCATATAATTGATTGATTTTTAAAATCATTTGAACGTCTGACTATTTATTATGAAGACAAAATTAATTAGTTTAGTATACAAATTATAACTGAACATTAATTTAATAATAGTTACTATCAATTGATGAGGATTCATTTAGAGCTCTTAATATACATTACTATTTTCAAAGGAATTATTTTAATATATAAATTATTTTAACTTTTAAATGTCGAGATAAAATTTTTTAATTAATTTTAATTAATTAATTTTTTACCTGTAGCTAATAAAAAACGGTGACAGACATTTTCTATTCCCAATTCACATGTCACTTTCCCAGAAAATGTAGAGACATATATTTTAGGCTCTAGTTCAGACTCATTCTGATTTTCTACTTAACCATCATACACTTCTTATTTTCCAGACAAAATCATCATAATAAAAAATTAAATCAATATTGATAATTATTATTTTATATATCTGCTAGATAATTGAACCTTTATATCTAAGCAAAAGTTTATTTGCCTTCAGCGAGATTTCTATACAGAACTATAGCCATACCTATGTTAGATATTTGACAACGGTCTGATTGCTACAAGGGACACCTTGACAGTTATCTCACCTTTAATTACCTTATTACTTGACAATACTCCTGCTCATTGCACGAGCGTCAAGTTGGTGCGCCAATCTTCTAATCAGCCAAAGCCAAAAGTAATAAACCCCTAAATGACCGCAGAGCAACGCCCCATAAAATAGTAATGAGTGTCCCTATCGGGCCTATAACCGAATTGAAATTAGAGTATGCCACACCTGAGTGAATGTGTGCGCTGCCGAATTACACGAATGTGGGCAGGAGGCGGGGAGGGAAGCGAAGGTAATTAAGGCACAGCGCATATAAATTAATAATTTTAATTATAATTATGATTGCCAGAAGCCGCCGACAATGCATTTAATTTGCTGAATGGCGTTTAAACGCGAATTGAATTTATGTACTACGGCCGGAGTATGCAAATAATTACCCCCGCTTTGCATAATATCGCATTTTCAGCTCTCGCTTTCGGCCAAATGTAATTTGCATGACAGCTGGCGCACGCGGCGTATGCGCAATATTTATGCCGCCATCTCACCGCATTTTAATGCGCAACACGAGCCACAGCCACAGAAATAATTACTTCAACATGACTTCAATTCTGAGCACATTGTCCTGCCCGAAGTTTAGGTGTGCCACTGGTCTGTTCTGCCGGAGTGGGCGCGGCACTGCGAGAGTGACCCATGCTGGCAGCCTGACAAATGTGATAAGTCGAGTCGAAGTCGGAGCACTCAAATGCAAACATGCGACGTCATCTGTCACACAAAGCCAAAACTGGCTGATTATGTACTGTGAATAGCAGGGAATAATAATCAATAGCTGTGAATACTCGCGCATTTAATTAGGAGTTGAATATGATTGCTAGATTGAGCATAACGAGCGACCTTTGTTCATGCATGTGAAGTGGTAGAATAATAAAGTATCAAGATTTTTACGTTTTTCTATTATTTTTACAATCTTAGAGGTTTGTCTTTATTGTCGTTCGTTCTAGGAATCATTTGTTTTTATAATATTTAACGGAGCGTTCATAAGAAATAAGTTCAAAATAAGTTCGATAATTAAACTCCCTAAAATTTAAAATAAATAATTCTATATTCAACATATTCGTGAGGCGCCAATTAACCATTTCAACCCGAGATCGATATTCATAGTCTAGACTTAATCTGATTCCAGTAATGTATTATTTGCTTGTACAGCTTTAATCTCTATCTCTCTCTCTCTCTCTTCCCCCATATATAACTGCATCTCGCTTGTCATTTTGTTGAGCTATTGCGAACCCATCAAATGCTTAGCTCTTCATCAATCAATTACTATTTTAACACTTGTTCAGCACTCAATCAATATACGCTGCACAGAGCTGAAGCACAGTCTCTGCCATAATTGAATATCCACGCAAATGTTCGCCAATCAATAAATATATATATAATTTTTTTTTTTTTTTCATTACAGCAGGACAACTCGTCGGATAACAATCAAGCTGCAGTCGTTGGGGCGCATGCTGGCCGTCTAGCGGTTCGCTGCCCACAGCCCACAGCCCACAGCCCACAGCCCACAGCCCACACCCCATAGTCCACAGGCTTACACCCACAACAGTTCCTTGATTTTCTGCCCCGGGCCCAATGTATGCCGGCCGGGCCACGCAATTCGCAAAGACCATCGGCAGCATGGCCTGCAGCATACAGAAACAGCCCACGCAGCCAGCATCCACGGCTACCATGTCCATGACGGCTACGGCCGTGGGCATTGCCGGAGTGAGCGGAGTGACCGGTGGGGGTGGTGCCACAGTGCCCTCCACGCCCAAGTCCAACAAGTCGGCGGCACAGCCGCGCGGCTCGCTGCCTACGGATGTGCATCAGCCGCCCCTAGAGTTTCAATGGCCTCCTCCGTTGCCCGTTTCCAGTCACACGAGCAACTTGCGCCTCAATATGATGAATCAGGATCCAAAGGACTTGCACACAGCACGAGCTATTATTGAAGAGCTGCGCTCGAAAGTGCGCTTCCAGACGGAGCACATAATGAAGTGGCGCAAGGCTTATGCCATACAGGTAAGCCCATATCAATCAGGACAAAGCGGGCTCGAATCCAGTTCGAATCTTTATATCCAGCCAGTTATATTCAAGTTTTCAAGTTTATATGCCTTAAATTCCAACCGTTGAGACAAAGAGAGACAATTGAGACTAGAAAAGAGAAAAAAATTTTCAGTAGGTACTGCATTTAAATAATACATAGTCTAAGATTCAGCTAAGTTTAAGTTAAATTTTTAACAAAATTTATATATTATGTTTAGAGTATCGAAAAAATTTTATAGTTGTTTATAAATTTACAAAACTTTTTAAAAATATTTTTTAAATACACAAATATAAATATATTAAATATATTAAATGTAAATAATGCAAATTGAACGGTTTTAAGAATGATAATTCAAAATTCAATTACAATAGCTTAAATCATGCAATAAACAATCTTTAAATCATTGAATATTATATATTCAATAACAGATTTCAGTCATTCAGGCTAAGAACAATATCTACGGTCATAATATGTTTATGAAAATTACTTCCAAAATTTTAAATCATATTTTGATATGAGAAAAAATATAATATTTTTGGCTCTATTTTGCACAAAGATTGTTCAGTTATTAAATTATTATTTATTCATGTATTAGATTACATAAATATTTAAGTAATATTTAGTAACCAAGAATTTTATGTACACATGGGGATAGTGGAAGATGGCAGAAATAGAAACTCTAAGAAATTGCCTTCACATCACTAACATGACTTTTTTCCTTGGAACAGGTGCAGCAGCATTACCGCTATCAAAAAGAAAAATCGGATCAGATGAATTCACTGACGTCTCAGCTGCTGCTGCTAGAGGCGCGGCTTAAGCGGAAACAGAAGCAAATCGCGAGTCTTTTGAGCCATCGAGAGCTGACCATACAGCGCCAGCAGAAGATCATAGATACGCTATCCACGCGCCTGGTGGACCACGGCCTGGAGAGCATCGAGGCGAGCTATGCCAATGAGCTGGACTCTCTGAACGACTCCGACTCCGCCGTGGTGCTAGAGGACATTGACTCGGACAGCAACATGACTCTGGGCACGCGTCGCAAGAGCAGCGGAGGCGGCGGATTGGGCGGCGTGCTTGCTAGTGACGGCATCACCATCGTGCGCTCCATATCGGATGCCATTGAGACGAATCTGAATAAGTATGGAGCGGCCAGGCGCAACAATTGCTATCTGCGTCGTCCGGACATACTGGAAACGGTGTACTCCGTGGAGGAGGATCCGGAGCCGACCACAGACGTGGCCGAGAAGCGCGACAAGTTTAAGAATCGATCGGACAAGGCGCTCAGCTCTAGCTCCACCGAGGGACAGATCGATGGACCGTCGGATGCCACGGACAGCAAAGCCAAAGATACTTCCACGACAACGGCCATGGCCGTGCCGCGTCGCCAGCTGGGCGCACTGAAATGCTCGCCCAGCCACGATGCCACGCCCTGCACGACACTGAGCATGAAGGTACCACAGCTGCAACCCCAAAGTCCAAGCCCGAGCCCGAGCCCGACCCCAATACCAAGCAGCAGCCCAGCTACGGAGCAGGCGAATGGCAAGTCGCAGGTAACGACCTACAATCGAGTCATGTCGAACCATCGATCCGTGACCAAGCCAAAGGACGTGAAGTACAAGCGCATCAACAAGGCCAAGTCCAAGAGTCTCGAGGAGCTGCGCGGCCGGCTCAAGAACCTGGTGGAGCAGCGACCGGGCCTCGATGCCGGCTACACAGCCGGCATGATGCCCCAAACAGCGCAGTCATATGCGTGACACACGGAGCAACTCGTCGAAAGGCCGGTGCCAGCAGCGGAGGTAGAGGCGCCAGTGGCCCTAACTGCCCAGGCCAGCTTGTCTGCGGGCCATACGCCGGATCAGACGACGCCGCAGCGGCACAGCTGTCCCAAGCGCTCGTTGACGCTGCCTCGCATACTGGTGCCGCAATCGGTGCTAGGGGCGTCGCACTCCGGCAGCGGGGGAGGCACTGGGCGTGGCGGTTTCTAGCAATTAAAGAAATTTTTCTTACGCAATTGTGATAAAAAGTAAAATTGTGTCTTGCATTTTTCTCTCTCTCTCTCCTGTCTTTCTATCTAGCTAACTTATTGGTACACTCAGAGACAATAGCTAGAAATTTTTTAAAATGATTTAATTAATTATAATTGTTAAATTAATTAATTAAAAAAATATTTCTAATTTATAGATAACAATTATTACAATTAAACATTTTTTCTGATCTGATTTAATCACATTATTTTCTCTGAGTGAAGTTTTCTTTTGTAACATTTGTTTCCTGCGCTGTCTTTTTGTGTGACACTGAGATACGGCATTTAATTTAAATTAGTTTTACGTTTACTTTTATGTTCAAATGTCCTTTATAATATAATTTCACATGAATAAATACATAACGAAGCATGCATAAACTCCAATTCTTTTTTTTTTTTTTTTTCTGTACACCTTTAAAAAGAATTTCAAGAAATATTAAAACTTGAGCTGGAGCTCAGTGTATCTCTTAGTCGGATTCTCTGGACTACAATACTTTATTTTATTGTTTTCTTTTTTTTTATGAGTATATCAGACTATTACTTTCACAAGAAGCGTATGAAAAATTTCCACTCGCATGGAATAGACTACGAATCGAACAGGATCTGTGAGACATTTGCGATTTCGACGACAATACGAGGCAAAGGCCGAAAAGAGTTCAAAGGGAGTATGTAGATGCTCTTTATTTTCGAGCATGCTGAAGAGAAATGTAGGGTATCTGGGTGAAATATTAAATTAGGTTAGCGAAATTTACAAACCCTTGGACTTCACCTGTACAGCAATCTATATGCCATGGCCAACAAATAATATCTTCCCCAAAACTGGGAATTCCTATGGCCAGTTGATTTTCCATGCTAGATATGTGTTTTCGGCTTTTGCAATTTAAATGATAATCTACTTAACTAAGATGTATAAAATTAAATGAGAAATAATGTAACGATATAAATATATAAGTGAAAATATATCAGCTTCTGGCTGCTGCAGATAGAATAAATACCCTTGCAGGCATATAATGATTCAATTTAAAATGATCGCTAAAATTTGTTTAATGTTAAGTATTAGCTGTTCGACAGATAATATTAGATATGAATCTATGCCGAGTGCAATGAAGATCTACTCAACACTTGATGACTTTTCCCTATCGACGAACCACAGTCCCACAGTATATATATGTATGTAAATAAATTATATTTTTTTATTTTTTGTGCATTCTCTGGAAGGGTATGCTCATAGAGACCCGCTTTGAAGTGTTTCGAAAATACCAACTTTTCCTATATCTTTCCTTTGCTTAGCATTGGTTTATAATGCCTACTCAAAGATCCTCCTAGGTGTAAGCTCTACCTGATGGTCTTTTGTCTACCATATCCCACAATCTATTTTCATAATAATTTACCTAAGCTATATAATCCGTGTTTCACACTCGAGATCCCTTTAGCCGTAAGCTCTACTCAATGGACTGTCTTCTAGATAACAGAATTTAGGTGCAAGAAAGCTGTACTAAGTAAAATAATTATATGGATGTATATTTTCTTACTTCGATTTGCAGTAAACTATTTTTACAAATTAAAATCATACGAAATACATTAAATTAGATTATACAAATGTTAAATTTGCTAGAAAACTAAACTAAGAGAGTTAGTTTTTGCGTTTAATTATTCCAAATTATTTTGAAAAAATGTTAAACAAAAACTTTGAAGCCATGCGCTTTATAAAGTTGAAATGTCATGTGTACCTTGCAGCGATTAAGCTTTACTAATAAAAAGTAATATATATACATATATATAATAAAGTTAATAAAAAAAACACACATATGTACATATATATGTGTGTGTATGTTACGCGTTATATGAAAGTAGATTATAGCTATGTATTAAAGATCCTCAAATCTCTACTAAATACAACTGAAAGTACAATGCTCAAACGGCGTCAATACATAAGAATTTCTATATAGCCAGATATAAATGTACAGTACCGAGCAAAAATGAGTGAATGTTACAGAACTTTGACTTTCATCACGCATAAAAATTAAACCATACCAGCAAATCAACAAATTTTTTTGTGTGTTTGTTAATTTGTGTATTCTTAACAAATACAAAAAAGTTGCAAGGCTAAATTAGCAAAATTCAAAAAATTAGAAATAAAAAACCGAAAAAATCCACATAAACTCAATTTTGCACGTTTAAAAAAAAACTACTAAAAACTAAAAAAAACTAAACATTTTTAATATTTAGTCCAAAACCCTTATTAGCAATAATTTTGTTGACTATTTTTGGCATGCTCTCAGCCAAACTTTGAATCATTTCTTTCGGAAATTGGCTCCACTCCGCTTCTACGCGCTCCCATAAGCTGTCAATGTTCGTTGGGGCTGCATCATACTGTCCCAGCCGTCTTTTCACTATTGAACACAGATTTTCAATAGGATTGAAGTCGGGATAGGATTTATATATAGACTCTATATGTATGGAGCGAAAATTAGCTTAAAATTCTGCTTTCCTATCCATTCCTAAATAATCTTTACAGTATGTTTTGGATCGCCATCTTGTTGAAAACCCTTTCTCTGTGGGGACACGCACATTTATCAGTGAATTTGGGAAGATGGGTTTGAAGAATATTCATATAATCCTTCCTCTATGTAGAGGATCAACGTTCTACCAAGAGAAGCATCCCCAAACCATAATGCTGCCGCAGCCATGTTTGACGATTTCCTTTACATGATGTCGTTGAATGCGTTCCCCAGGTCTGCACCAGCAATATTGCTTTCCATATGATTGGAAACGGTTAAATTTTAATTCATCTGACATAACAACTCGTTTCCAATCATAAATGCTCCAGTTTTTGTGATCCCTTGCAAATTTCAAACGCGCCTTCATATTCTTTTCGGACAATGCAGGTTTGTTTTTTAACGAATGATACATATCCGAAGCCACGAATTTCTCTTCTAGCAGTCCATTTGCTAACATTTTTATTAATTGCTAGAGAAACACCCTTTGGTGCTAGCAGCTTGTTTTTCTTAATTTTCGACATCATTAGGCGAGCATCAGAGCCCGAGAACAGTTTTTTGCAACCTTTGACTTGAGTTTTCGGAGTCAAATTTCGGCTGATTCAAAGCTTTTCGGCAATAATAAGCGAAGGAAATCCCTTCCCGGTCAGGCACACACCACTATTTTCAATGTCGACTGAAATTTTCCACATTTTAAAATTATATTTCACCAATTATTTTAAATTTGTTGCGAAAAGAAAATGTGCTTCAAATCGCTTTACAAATAAGAATATTAAAAGGACTAAGATAACGGTAAATCTACATGCTCAATCTACGACTAAGAAGAATACCCAAGGAGCTAAGTTATGGGGAAATCTGGATGATTTCGGCTGAGAAGAGAAGTAGAAGAGCCAAAGTATTGGCAATTATGAAACGTGCAAAATTGAGTTTATGTGGATTTTTTTGGTTTTTTATTTTTCATTAATTGAGTTTAGCTGATTTAGCGTTGCAACTTTTTCTATTTGTTAAGAACAAACTAATAAACAAGTATAAAAAACAAAATCTTAATTTGCTTGTATGGTTTAATTTTTATGCGTGATGAAAGTCAAAGTTGTGAAACATTCACTCATTTTTGCTCGGTACTGTATATATGGTATATGAACCCAGTTTCAATAAAAAGTACCTAAACAATTGTTGTACCTAAAGCAAAACCTTCTCAACTCTCAATAGACATTATGCAATCAACTTCGAACCCTTATGTACAATATGCAACACTTGAGATACGTAATGTCAAAGTCAAATCGGCTTAAGCAAATCCAATCAATTTACTTGTCAATTTGATTCGTCAGTTCGATGAGTACAAACGCATTCTTAATGTATTCAATGTACTCGGATGTAAAGCGTTATATTCTGAATATATGTATAAGCAAAGTGTTTACAATTAATGTGAATCGTTGAGTAAATATAAGATTAAGTATGAATATATACCATATACATATATGATCTAAATAAGTTAAGTATTTGAATGTTCAAACATATTGAATTACATGAACTACGATATTAATTCTGCATTTTCATAGGACTTTAAGATGGGAGTAGAATTCAAAACAATTCCCAAAAATTATTTTTTTCCTATTGTTCTTCGAGTTTTGAAAAAATTTTAAATAATCTCCGCGACATATGAAACTGAGTAAAATAAATGAATATATATATAAATGTTAGTACAAAATATTCTCCATCTCCGTGCTAACTGACGAGTTGTTAGCATATTAATATATATAAATAATGTTAAATATATAGATATATATTTACAACATATTCGAGATGAGCAGAGCATTCGCAGTGCGGCTTATGCATTAACTTATATGGTATATTAAAATAATAAGGTTATTGTATATAATATATGTAACATATATGTATGTGTATGTATGGCAGATAATTCACAAAGTTCTTTTTCTAGTTAGCTTGATTAACTAATTAACTATTTATAATAATAAGACCGCAATTACTTTTGAAAATTTGCTCATTTTACATTTTTAAACTAATTAATGTAAATTTTCTTTTGATTTCTGCCTTTGCTAAAATGCCTAATAAAAGCTAAAATTTCACTAACAAACTTGCAGTTTTCGTATAATACAGAAATCAGTTTGCATTTGATATTTAATTTTTTTTTTTTTTTTTTTTTTTTTTTTGTTTTAACTAGTATCAGTTATTTATTCGCTTGTATCGAGCTCTTCTTTGGCTACAATGCATCGTTCATAATTTTAATCTTTCATTCAGACCCATAACAAACAGATGTAATGGATTCACCATTATAAACTGTGTAACAAAATTCAAATACCCTCAGTGACGGCAGGCCAGCTGCTTGGTTTCAGTTCTGATTTTAAAATTTACTCAGCTTTGCAGCTCAGTTTCAATCTGAAGGCAAACATGAACGGCAGCACTTCAATATCTCGCTGGCTGACAGCGCTAATCTGCCTCGGGCTGCTTATCAGTGGGGTAAGTCGAGTCGCGTTCCAGGCGCTACCTATATACATATTTATTTATATTCGATTTCATTGTCAGAGCGCAGCTGATTTGCGTAAGGACAGCACTGCAGCCGATTCGACCGTGAGGAAGATTGAGAGGCTCTACAATGAGGTGCTGGAGTCGAGCATAAGTAGCTACCGGCAGAAGGTGCAGAGCACGAACAGCTCAATTGATATTGATTTCGAGATGCTAGACAAGGCGAACAATGAGAGTTACTATAGCGCGGCATACCTCATATTCTTCCTCATTCACGACGACTTCAAAGGGCGGCAATCAGACGAGTTGAAATTCTCCATTCGCGCCTTCTTCGCCAAAGCCCGATTAGAGTTGCGAAAGTACTCCGAAGCCACACAAACAACGATTGAGGAGATACTGCAATATGTGTCTCGTTGGCAGACCGAAACCGCGGATAGCATCATCCAGGCCTACATGGAATTCCCCAGCAAGCTGCGAGAGACGGTGCCGGAGCTACAGTTAATGGACTACACGGCCCAGGGAAGAATTATTATAGAGGCCGTTGCCCAAGCAATTGGAGATGCACTAAATGCACTCCTAACTCCTAGAAAATCTTTAAGAAACTTAATTACCATATAATTGAGATAATTTGAACGCAATCGTTACACAGCCAAAGATAACTTTAGATACATTTGCGCATTATTATGAATTCGAATTTGTATACATTTCTACTTGTATATATTTGATATATATGGATTTATATATTTACACCTGATAGACATAAGAAACAGCAATAAATTCAATATTTGAAAAAAATTTGAAACGAATATTAAACTTAATTAATTGTTTTCTTCGTATTGATCTGATTTGCCTCTACATTTCTGTATATACATATTTATATATTTCTATATTTATACTTCTATATACTTATACATTCATGCATACGCAAAGCTATTTATATAATCTTCGTGTAGTCGACTTTCTTTATGTGACTGTACAATTTTCCTATGTGAGCACGGTAATTATATTTAAGTATATCTCTCAGCTGGGAGCTTTTCGATCGCGTGAATCTGCCTCGAGAAAGTGTAATTACTACACAGTTATGTATTCAATTTTAACAGCAGGAGTCGGATACTCTACTGGCTCACCAATTTGTAGGCCTCTGTGTTGATCAGCCTCATGAAGTCCTCGTATTGGTGCAGCACCTGTCTCACAGCACGCAATGCGGGCATCAGCAGCTCCTCCTCGCTGATCTTGCCCACGTAGCTGATCTCAAGGGTCTCCAACTGGGCGCGCAAGTCACTGTGGCTGCGTCTCAGCGAGCGCAAGCGGCGCTGCACTTGCCGCTGCCCACAACGACTGCCCCGTGGACGGCACTGATTCACGAATGCGGCCAGGTCTTGACCCAGTTGCTCCAAGGCCTGGAGCCACGAGTTGAGGTCCTCGTTGAACTGCTGTTCCTTGAGCTGTTGCTCGTCCTGTTGCTGCTGTCTGAGCAGCTTACGCAACTCCTGGAAGCTCGCCCTGCCAGGCAGCGCCACAGACAGCTATTAAATAAACCCAACAAGTTATCCACCAAGCAAAGAGGCGTGGCTCACACACAACCTACGCCCATTAGCATCAGCAGCAGCATCAGAAGTAGTGGAGCTCTGATGAATAATCGCGCACTCATCATTTTATTAGCGGAACGTTGTTATCACGTCAAGCGAATCGCATTAACTGATTATAGAGTAGCGAATATTTCACCGATCCCACGATCCCCACATTGTGTGCGTGCCTATAAGAGGCTAAGTTAGCTCCATTAGAACAATACAGTCTTCCGAATAACGCACAACCAGTGGCATCAGCATGTGGCGTATCGTACTCCTCTTCGCAGTCCTGCACTCAGCGGTAAGCCAAGCTAATCGAACAGGAGACAGTCTGAAAAGGTTAATTGCGTATGTCCATTTCTACATATAACCTATAGCTGTAATCAACTCTGCTCGACCGAAGATTCAGTTGTCTAATGCACTAAATCACCTTTCGACGACTGCTATTCCTCTATCTATCCAGCTTAACTAAAAGTTTTTCTATTTCCGAATTCCTATGAACTAAGCGATTAAAATAACAATCCAATAACGAATTAAAAGTTAACCGTGGAAAAAATGATTTAATAAGTTGAATTACTTTCTGCATGTCTAAAAAAATAAAATATTTGATTGAGTAATATAAAAATGATATATCATTTTTGTATTTTGTAATTTTCTTTTTATAAGTGCTTCTCCTCTATTACTATCACTTCTCTTCAAGAATCCCATTAAAGTCAAATCTTGAATAATTTTCACGCAGTACACGAATCCAATTACATCCTGCGAAAAACTGGAATCAAGTCTAGTGCGAGAGGCTACGACATTCGGCCAGCGGGCATTGAGCGAGTCCGTGGAGCTGCTTCAGCGTATTATCGATGCTGCCGAGCGACTGGACCCCAACGAGATGGATCGGATTATATTTGATGAAATTGCCACATTCATTGAACGGGCCAGTCACAAAGTTGACTTTGAGGAGCTAAATGACTTACTGGTATGGCTAATGGATCTATTAGATCTATATTATGAAGAGGAGGAGTATGATCGTTTGGAGCTAGACGGATCCGAGAGCCTTGTGGACAAGCTAATGCGTCAATTTGGCTTCGACACATTCGAGCAGAGCTTGGAAAGGCAACTCTACACCTTCATGGAACGAACTGAAGATCACATTGAGGCTTATCTAAGAAGGCAGAACATGAAGGACTCGGAGCTGCCGAAATGGTTTACGGCCTTTAAAGACGAAAGCGATATTGAAATTAAGTATTTGATGTTAGAAGACATTATTGAAAACTTAGAATGCTAATGTTCTTCATAGAATGTTGAATTAAAATATTTTAGTTTAAGTTTTAATATAAGAGGTATGACATTTACGATTATGTTATATTTTTAAATACCTAATGTACTTAATTAATTTTTAATAATATATGTATGTAAAATATTTCCAAGAACATATAATCTTCAGTATAAATAAAGTTCTTCTTTTGAAGATAACTTTGTCTGTATATTAAATATTATCCTTTAGTTTCCTCTAATATTGTTCTCTAATATTTAGTATTGGAAATTTGGTTATAATGGATGTATACCAGAAGAACCAGAAATTTCAGACTTACTGCGTACATCTGTATAATTATTATAGAGATTTTATATTTGATAAGCTTTGGAAGCTAAGAAACTGAATGACAATACTCGAATGCTATGAAACGACATTACATCAGATGATTGCTATGAAACTGCAGCTAGTTGAATGAAAAAAACTGAATGTTATCGGAATTGAACAATAAAAAGTTTACCAAAAGCTAAATTCAATGAGACTTTATAAAACTATTTCTTATTCATTATGCAATTAAATGGCAACAGCTCAGTGTTATGGCTAGTTGAATGAGAAGAGCTGAATAATGTATTTTAAGCAAAGAAATCGTGTGCCAAAACCTAAATTGACAATGAAAAAGCTGAATGTTATGAAAAGCTGCGTGCTATAGAACTGAATGATAAGTGCTAAATGGTTCGAATCTCTACCTAAGTAGTAACTTGGCAAACTTGGAAAGTTGGATCGAATTCTAAGTATAAACTATATGCATTTACTATTATTGCCAAATGCAGGCATTTTTTCGTACCTAATCTTAATAGATTTTGGATTTGCGCAGTCAGTAAATGCGGAAATATATTTAGAAAATATATGTATATGTAGGTTATCAGTTTATTATTGAGTATTTTTGGTTAGATGATTAGAAATCTATGTTAAAACTTCCGAGTTATCATGCCATTTCCTAGGCGACTGTCGAATACGCTTTGCTGAATGCGTGGCGGACCGTTGCCATCTGAGTTGTAGCTATAAGATTCCGAGCGATAGAAATTATTGGGGAAGCCACCAGCAAAACCAGATTCTTCGAAATTATTAATGGGAGTAAAAAATCCATTACTCGTAGATATGCGTGGACCCTATCAGAATATTACGTAGTCTGATCAATTGATTAATAACAGTTTAGTAAACTAACATACCGTCTGCATGCTCAAAGGCATAGGGCTAGAGAAACCAGTTTCCCCAAACACTGATTGACCTAAACGCGAAGAACCACTCATTCTGCGACCATTGACAAAGGGTTCAGTAATCGTGTCCAATGCGGGATCAAAATTGGGCTGTATAAACGTATAGAAACTAGTGTGAATTAGTATATTGATTTTGTGCAATGTCCGTCTTGCTGTCCGTCCGTCTGTCCGTATGAACACAGCTTATTTCGGCGTTATTGAAGCTAAAGACTTAAAATTTGGAACACATACTAGTGTATATCTCCTCACTAGGGGCGTGGCAAATCGGAAAATGAATTTTCCGATATGTCACAAATCATATTAGTTGAAGAGCTAGAACGTCGACCACCCAAGATCACGAGCTATGGCGGATATATCTACGCCCTTTGGGGGCGTGGCAAATCGGATAAAAGTTTATCTCCAAGAGTTTTACAACTAGAACATTGAAATTTTGCACGTAAGCTAATGTTATGATTATTTTATATTATATGTCTACGCCTATTAGGGGCGTGGCAAATCGGGCCGGAAGATCTATGTCTATACACCTAAAATTTTGTATACATACTCGGGCTGACCACCCAAGACCAAGAAGCTTCGACGAATATATGTCCGTCTACAGGGGGCGCGGCAAACCGCAAAAGTTTATATATCCTAAAGTATTTGGATAGTTAGGTTACTAGTAACTTCCTCTATCGATAAGCCCAAAATAATTTTTACGCCTCTTTAGGGGCATGGCATATCGAAAAACACCCTGTAAGTTTCGCCTTTTTTGAGCGTAAGCCTTCAAATCCTGCAGTTAGGGTAGCGTTAGCTCGTTCTAAAAACTGACAAAAAATTAAGGGTCTACGCTCAGTAGGGGCATGGCAAATCAGGAAAAACTGCATTTTCTTCAGTATTAGAGCTAAACTTAGCTACTAAATTGCTGATGGGGTGTGAATGAGTATTACGCAGCCCGACTGCAACGTTCTTACTGGCTTAGAATTATATCAGAGCTGAAACTTGATTCTATGCTGCTCCTAACTTTTCTGTCGATTTCATACCGAATTAAATCTGGCCGGAGAAGAGGGCAGGGGTGAGGGACGATCAAAGCGACTTTGTTTGGAGAATGTCGATGCGGATGGCCATGAGCTATCCTCACTATTTGCTTCCGAGGATCCGAACCTGGGATGGGCTTCGGCCGTTGAGTGCTGCAAGGATGAAACAATATCAATGTTCGGCGCAGCAGCTAATAATTGCTCTTAATAGTTAAATAAGCTTCTCTTAAGTTAATCTCTTTCCTTTGTCATTCTCATTCGCTGTTAGTGCACTCTTGCACATAACAAAGCATAACACACATACATATGTAAATCTCATCCGCTCTGTTAATTGCATACTCCTCTTTATTTATATTCTTTTAAACTCTGTACGAAAATAGTCTTCATTCGCGCAACACCTACAAACTTGTCACCCTCGCATCGAAATAACTTTGCCTAAACAGTGTCCACAGACTCGGCATTAAATTAATAAATAATAAGCTAAATTATATCGTTTTGGTTTTATTTTTTTGCCTTCGTAAATGATTGGAGCCAGAGTTGTCGAAAAAGCTCGACAGCTTCAAACATTTTGGTGACCCCGACGTGATCTCTAATACACTCTGTGGTGCTCGCTTAGCGCGTTAAACGTTATTACACCATCTTGGCGTCGCTCATCAGTGAAATTTACAAAACATTTGTGCAAGATAGTGCATTCAAATTATCAATTTCATTGTGACACAACCTTGTAAAACATTTAACATTTCGTTCGAACTGCTTATATGTATGTGTACGCAATTGTCTTGAGTTTCTTGCATCCTCTTTTAATTGCCGTTTCGTTCGTCGCGGTTGGCGCTTTCTCAGCTGCATCTGCATAGAAAGCGCGCAAACCTAAAAAGCTGTGTCAATCGTAGAAGACACACACACACACACACATACATAAATCAAAGCTCAGATAATCTGCATGCAGTGGCTTTGCATTCTGATTATCTTTATCATTTTTTCTTTCGTCCGTGGATCATCGCGTTTAGCGCCTTTTATGTAGCGTCTGCACAGCTATTCCGAAAATAGTTGTCTCGATCACACACGTACATACATATGTATATACGTACAGTGGGCTTGCATATAAAATGTGCAGATAAATTATATGTGCATAAGTGGAACTATTAGCTTGTACATTAACTTTGCAATTGCAAGTGTTCTTTCAAAAGTGAACATAAAACAAATAAATTTGTGGCTAAAATGAATAATTTAGAATCGAGTGCTGATCAAGTTCCTGCATCTCAGGTCACTTATCTAAAGCGTAAAACGAAAGCGCTGTTCGATAGACTCGAAAGACTATATGCCGAATCAGACGCGGACAAATTAAGCCATATGGATTCGTGTGATTTACGTGTACTTTTGGACTCAATCACCAAATTAGAGTCAAATTTCGATGCGGTTCACACGAACTTAGAAGAATCAGATTTTGAGTCCATATCCAGTGATTTACCTGCGAAATTTGAATCAATTCTACTGAAGTTTAAGGCCCTGCTTCAACGTGAACTGGGAAGTCGGCCAAATCAACAGTTTTCTTCGACACTTAATACAAGCTTTACAAAT